AAATTGCCCTGCCCAAGCAGCTCAAATTTGAAGATTTACATGCAGAAGCATTTTGCTCTTTGTAACAAGGACTATTATATTTCTGAATCTGGAAGGATTTTTTTTTAGTTGCACGACCAATTAAATATTTTGGAGCAGTAGATTATATTATATGGTAGTGTGGACCTGGATGAAGAATAATCAGTCACGTCTCTGAATGAATGTAAAGTAAGCCTAGGAACTTAGTAGTTTTGAATTGGCGATAGTGCTTAAATGGTGGTCTTGTGCATATGAGAGAGATGTCATAAAACCTGCCTTGGTTCTAGTGTGGAAGAGAATATATCCTTTTTTTTCAGACCATGTTTTTTGTTGTCGTTTCGTTTGTTTTTGTTTTGACATGGAGTCTCGCTCTGTCTCCCAGGGTAGAGTGCAGTGGCGCGATCTCAGCTCACTGCAACATCCGCCTCCCGGGTTCAAGCGATTCTCCTGCCTCAGCCTCCCGAGTAGCTGAGACTACAGGCACATGCCACCACGCCTGGCTAATTTTTTCTGTTTTTAGTAGAGGTGGGGTTTCACCGTGTTAGCCAGGGTGGTCTTGAACTCCTGACCTCATGATCTGCCCGCCTTGGCCTCCCAAAGTGCTGGGTTACAGGCGTGAGTCACCATGCCTGGCCTGTGTTTTGTTTTGTTTTTGTTTTTGTTTATGAGACCGAGTTTTACTCTTGTTGCCCAGGCTGGAGTGCAATGGTTCGGTCTTGGCTCACGGCAGCCTCCGCTTCCCAGGTTCAAGTGATTCTCCTGCCTCAGCCTCCCGAGTAGCTGGGATTGCAAGGGCCTGCTGCCGTGCCTAGCTCATTTTTGTACTTTTAGTAGAGGTGGAGTTTCACCACGTTAGCCAGGATGGTCTTGATCTCCTGACCTTGTGAGTCGCCCACCTCGGCCTCCCAAAGTGCTGTGATTACAGGTGTGAGCCATCGCTCTGGGCCTTGTTTTTTGATTAGAAATAAAATAGGGGCTGACTGTACGCACTGCGTATGAGTTAGCCCTGCTCCACAAAGAGCAGTAAAAATAAAAAAATAAAAAAAATATGGACTTTGGGCTGGGCATGGTGGCTCACGCCTGTAATCCTAGCACTTTGGGAGGCCAAGGCAGGTGGATCGCTTGAGGCCAGGAGCTTGAGACCAGCCTGGCCAAAATGGTGGAACCCTGTCTCTACTAAAAATAAAATTAGCTGGGAATAGTGGCTCGCACCTGTGATCCCAGCTACTTGGGAGGCTGAAACAGGAGAATCCCTTGAACCTGGGAAGCAGAGGCTACAGTGAGCCAAGATCGCGCCACTGCACTCCACCCTGAGCAACAGAGTGAGACTCAGTCTTAAAAAAAAAAAAAAAAAAAAAAAAGGACTTCTTTTGCCTTAACCTAAACAAATGCTGTTACATGATCCTAGTACAAGATTCTCTTGGCCTATAGCATTTCTTCTCATTTATTCCTGGGCATTTTCTCTTTTACGTTTCTCCATTTTAAAGAAAATCCAGTATTTTCATCAGTAAAGATTAAATCATATGAGTGCATAGATTACAACTGAGCTAAATAGAATATGTTTGGCAGTTAGGCTCTGCCTTTATGGCAATAATGGTCACTGCCTCTAGTGTCTTTGGTACTGATTTTCAGCTTGACTTGGGTTATTTTTGTGAAGATGAAATGGTTTACACTGGCCCTTTGGACTTCCCTAGAACTCCACTCAGTTTTAGCTGTAAATTTTTTTTTTTTTTTTTTTGGT